CAGAACCCTGAGTTCCCCACAAGCATCTAAGGGGTCACTCTGCACTGCCATGTGTAGCCACTAGAGGGCCATGCAGAAGTAAGAATAGTCTCCAGACACTGGGACACCTGAAGACTAGGATGCCTGCAGGATCTTGCTCCATTCAAGGCCTGCAGGGTCAGGCCACTTTCCCCTAGATCACGTGACTGTTAATCTTACCCAAGACCCAGAAAGTAGAGCCTGAAGGAGGAGCTCCAGGAACATGTGTGCCACAGGTGAATGGAACTGGGTGGGTCCCACAGTCAGAAACTGAGCCTGCCTCCAGGGGTTCTCACTTGTTTAGGGTCCTTGACACCTGGATTTCTGTGATGTTTGAGTGGGTACAGACAGAGTCCTGTCCTTCCCGTGGGTTTCCGAAACTCTCGTTAGGACTCTCTTCAGGGTCCTAGGGCTTGTTAGGAGTAATGGGATACACTAGCCTAGGTGGGTGCTATGCTGAACCTCTTCAGCAGCATACAGATGTCAGAAGAATCCCAGCAGGCCTTGCTGACTAGCTGTGGCATGTAAGGAAGACCAAGTCGTTCATATACTTAGCAGTGGCTGACAAATCCTCAAGCTAGACAAATCCAGACCCTGCTTTCTACATGTAGGGACTGGCTTTGCTGCCTTCTGACCTATATCTAGACATAATGGACACCCAGCCCTGACACCCCAGCCAAGTTACTTTCTGACTCTGCATAGTATTGGCAGGAATCCGTGCATTTACTCTGGAAGGTGCCCAGCACCCAATCCAGGCCCTGGAATGCCAAAGATTTCTGGGCTTCCTCATCTGGTAGTACATTGGTCAAAGTAAGGAGGCAGTAGGTAAGCCCAGCCCAACCCTAAGGTTCCTGCACGTTTTCTTCCACCAGCATATACAGGCACACACTGGAACACAGACCCATTGTAGACAGCCACACAGAGATACGATCCCTAGGCCCCCAGGCGTCCCCCAAGCTTCACCCACAGGCTTTGCTTTGGTGTCAGACTCTGTATGGAGTCTGGCCGTGCTGAGCCTTTTGCAGGATGGAGAGTCTAGGTTTAACAGTAGTCCACAATAAAAGTTGGTATAGAGCTTCGAGAAATTTGTTTAAAATTTAACACATAGTAACATCAAAACAAACAAGCGCTGCCATGGTGACAAGGACCTAAACAAAGACTGCAGATACCCCAGCTGGCGCCACGCCTGCAGAGCCATGGCAACCTGCCCCAAAACAGAAATAGTTGAACTTTTTTCTCTCAAGTCCTGTCAGAGTCAGCAACTTCCTGGAGGTACCTAAGCAATTTCCTCCCAGGGCCCAAACTCCCATAGGAGGCAAAGGCCTCTGCAGCTGCCATTGCTGTCCCTCAAGGGACCACAAACACCCAGCTTTCATAATACCAACAGTGCCACCACAGCCACAATTTTCTTGGAAATCTCAATCCCAGAGTTCCCCAGTCCTTCTTGTGGATCCTTCTCAGTATTCTCCCACCACCCTGGTATTCGGGATACTGTACCCCTATACTTGAGGACAACATGAGTCTGAATCTTCTGTTCCTTAAGAATAGAGATACCCCAAGTGGGACATAGGTCATAGAGAACCTCAACAGAGTCAGGTTCTGAGAGGGAAGGAGAATTCAAAGATGGTTTAGGTGAAGGAATGGCAGCCTCTAGGGTCTCAAGGACCCAGGTGTGAAGGCAAAAGGAACATCAGAGTTTCTGGGCCTCTAGTGCAGGATCCTTACCTAGGCTTCCCCAGCCACCCAGCTGGACCTGCCCCAGTATGTGCCCATAGTGTTAGCAAGCACACCTAGTGTTAGAATATACAGCATGTATAGCTTGTCTGCCTAGACTAGCATAGTCTTGGGATTTCTCGGGGCTTCTGCATGGACTTGCTCTCCAGGACCTTGACTTGTAAGGCAGGAACCTGCCAAGGTTCCCAGGCATCCCAGAGTCTACAGAATGGCTGTCCTAGAGTTTGAGCATCTGAAGGTCTGCAGTCTGGGAACAAGCATTCCCTTCACATGGCTCACTCCTATGAGTCTAGTGCCCTCCCCACCCACATAGCAGGAAGGGCATGTGGAGCTGGAGTTCTCAGTCCTCTGACCCACATCATTCAAAGGACTCATAACCACATATTACCACCCACTGGGAGGCTGTAGAAATCCAAGTTCTACATGGGGTGGGGAAACATATAAAGACACACAACAGCTGGAAGGTAGCCTCCTTCAGAAGAAACTGGAGAAGCTGACTAACCTCTGGGCAGGTTACTTCTTCCTGTCTTCCAACAACACCTTCTAGAAGCACTCTCACAGACACAAGTCTCTGGGTCTCCCTGTTCTTGGGTTAGTTCTTGATTATTCTGTACCCTGGGTTTACTGAGGACATGGTGCCATAAGGGGCCTGTCTAAGGAGAAGAGCAGGAATAGTTCACTGGCCTTACTGGCACACCCTGCATGCTCCCAGTATAGGAACAGCTTCCAGGGGTTCTGGAAAGCTCAGGGTTGGGCCACCTGCTGGTGGAGAAGGAACACAAGGAGAGATAAGGTGAGGAGCTGTCCAAGTTCATTTGCCAGCTTAGACAAGGTGGTGAGGTCATAAAACAATCAGCTTTAACTGTATGCACATGCTAGACACAGCTAACCTAGGTTTTCTAGGTCTCAGTGTTGCGGGACCCGTCTACTGGCCTAGCATGAGCTCTTAGCACCAGGATGAGAGAACTGGCTGTATCAGAGGCTCTAGGGCTAATCATTTTTGCAGCCTGGGTCAGTGCCCCTCACTCACGGCTGGCCAGCCTACCAAAGCACCTCTGTTTACTAGGACCCACCTGCCTGTCCCTGCCTGGAACTGTCCAGTTGAACCCATAAGGCCAGTTTCTCTGAGGAGGCTGCACATCCCCAGGGGACAGGTAGGACAGGTCATGTGACCAGCACAGTGAGCTCTACCAAGCCTGGGAAAGTCCCTCACAGACAAGGCCCATGATGGGTGTCAGTACCCAAACTCAGGGGCAGTCACTTTGGTGAAGTTTAGAGGGTCTCAGGGACTATAAACATCAAGATCTCTGGGTCATCTATGCAGCAACAGCAGTATGGAGGTCCTTCAAGCTGACAGACATCTTGCTGCATGCATGTGCTTGTCTACACTCTGTAAACTCCTCATGGCTCCCATCTCCAATGACTATGTTGTTCTATTTAGGGACTCAGGGAAAAGAGCCATCTCCTGACGCTTTATCTTGGGCCCTTCCCATAAAAGCAATGGAATGAATACAATAAGTTCAGTAGACCCTCTTCTGTAAGGGTCACACAACATTGCACACAGATGAAGCTGAGGAGAAAGAAGTGTTAAGAAACCCAAGGACCATAGTCTAGAAGTGCATAGGCACTCCTGGCCAAGTGCCTCCCAGATAGAGGAGCTGGTGCCAGTATTATTGCAATGGAACCCAGCCAGAAAAAAAAAAAGTGCTTTTGCAGTGAGCATCAGGGTAAAGTGATCACATCTGAGCCACTAGCCGTAATTTTTTTCTCAAAGCCTAACCCACAATAATTGAACTTCAGGCCAAAGTAGGTCTAAGACATCACAGGAACAGGACCTGAGATGGTTGGGAAAAGGGTATAGGGGTAACTAGGGTACACACAGCATCTGCTTTCAGAGGTCAAAGCTCCATGGAAAGTCTTTTCTCCAGCTTTTCACTGGGTTTGGAAGCCACGGGGAGACAGAGCAAGAATGGACCAGCTCTGATTTCTCTTCAGAGCCCCCTAGGGTCAGTGGGGGTCTGGAAGAGGGTCAGGATGCAGAGCCCCTGGGGATACATTTCTCAGGCTTTCTCAGCCTTTGAATGGTTCTACAACCATTCACACCTAAGATTCTCCACACACTCTCTCTCGTGTACTTTGTACAATAGGAAGTTCTCTAGGGATCATGGGGTTGAGATTTTCTTGCTTTGCAGAATCTCAAACTCCTAGTTGATATCAGCATTGGGATGGGTGGAGACAACCAGGCTCTGGCTCAGTAATCTCCACAGAGTCCCTTCCTAGGTGCTGCCAGGACTTTGAAATTCCTGGCTCGGTATTCCTTCATCTCTCTCAACCAGCATCTGGAGGAAGGCTTCATCTGGAACAGGAAGATGTCAATATCCCCAACCCCTGGTTATGGTACCCTGTATCTGGTAATCTGGCTTACTTCACCTCTTCCCATTGGGACACATGCTCAATCCCTCCACAATTCCTGGCATGAGATACTTGCTGGAGTTCTCAGGAAGAGTTCATCTGCCAGGGCACCTCTTCCTTTCTCCTCTAGGCTGAGTACACAAAGTACAACCCAGGGCGCAGGGAAGACTTTCTATACCTAGAGAACACCAACAATGACCAGAAACCACAGTGATGAAGACCACATCACCCACCCAAAGCCAGGGGAGGAAGTAATGCCCAGCTGGTACCACCCACAGAGATCAACCACAGGACTTGACAGCACACTGATGTTTGACAACACAGAGGCGAATGGCCACTCTCTGATCCCTATCACTGTGTCTGCATGTGTCAGCATTTCTTAAGAGCAAAATGAACAGAGATGGACAAAGAGCTGAAAGAGCGTGTCACGAGCCACGACCATATCCTGGAAACTAGGCTAAACAGGCCTGGCCCCCACACTTACTAACTTCATAGACTCAGCCAACGGCGGCTGGGTCTCTGTTCACCTGAGCAGATCCTGAGCAATAGCTCACTAACCTGGGTATTGGTTAGAGTTAATTAAGTTTTCTCAAGGCTAGAAGCCCCTACTCTGGCTACATCCAAGGCCAACAGACTGAGGCTAGGACCATAGCTCAGGACATGGCCAGGGAGTTCCAAGGCACTTAGGGCCAGTGTACTCCTCAGACTGTCCCAAACACTACAGGCTCTGTACCCACTTCTTAGCTTCAAGCCTCCAGAATCTGCAAACAAGATCCTTCACAGACTCTCACCGCTACTGATAGGAGCTCTGCCACCTAAGCCCGCACGACACTTACTTGATCTTGCTGAAGACAATGTCCACATCCGTGACAGTCACATTCTTCCCATCGATCACGTGGCAGTCCTTGCACAGTTTGGACCAGTTCTTGCCATGCATCTCCTTCCCCGTCGCTCTGGTGTCCCCGTGTACCGCAAACCGCCGGAAGGCCTCCTCCAGGGCACTGAGCTCAGGGGCTGCAGCTGCCCCTTCGTTGGCACCCTCTGACTCCAGTGACAACCTCTTGGCAGTCTTGTCCCTGGCTGGGTCTCCTGGGGACTTGGGTGGTGTCTTGTTGGCAGCTTTGGCAGGCTTGGCCTTGCTGTCAGCCATGTTGCTAGGGAAGAAGAAGAAAAGGGTCATTCTGCTTCTCACAGCCCATCTGTGTTCCTGGTCCTAGCTGCAGTATGTGGTACCAGGCAACAAGATATGGCAAGAGCTGAAAAGCACCCTCTCTGGGGGTTGGGACCCCTCTGAGCTGGATGCCCAGCAGTGTTGACCCAGCTGTAGGACCTGGCACTGACCCTGCCACCCTGACACATGCACACTCTAGGCAAAGGAGACAGGGTCTGACTCAGCAAAAATGGGTTCTGCTTAGGGTCTATAAAATGATGCCACCCTTAGGATCCGGGACAGTGCTCATGCCATGCTCACTGTCCCTCAAATCTGAGTCTTCTGAGCAGAACTGAGCCATGCTTTGGGGTGGCAAATGACCCTGGACCTGCTCTGGGATCCTAGAACATGTGGTTGACCTTTGGGCTCAGAGGAGGGAACCCATAAAGAAGCCTGAAGTATAGTCATAGTCTTTAGGTGTTGTGGGCTGTTGACTCCCAAGACAGGCAGACATCCCTGAGGACTAAGAAGACTGAGAAGGTCATGCCACCTCCCAGCAAGACTCGGGAGCACAAGGATATGCAGTGATCCCAACGTGGCCGCTATTGTTCCAGCAAGGGCAGGCACATGCCTTTTCCAGCTTGGGGAGCAGGGGTGTTGAGCTCCCAGTTAGCATCTCTGGGAACTGAATGCTTAACGGCTCAATGCAACGAGAACTCCTGGTACCGGCACATACTCCATAGAGGGTCAGTGACGAAGCTGAAACGTGCAGGCCCTGTCCAGACTGGAGATTTCAATGCCAATGTGGCCAAGGCATATCTTCACCACTAAGGGATGTGAAATGTGGCCCCTGCTGAACTCTCGATGGTATGAGTTGCATAAACATCCAGAATAACACAGATGACAGTCAGCCACAAAGCCAGATCCCCTTCTTGCTCACCCCCGTTGAAAATGGTAATAAAAGTATAACGGAAAAATTCAGCCTTTTTAATGAGAGCCTCTTCTTAAGGCACTCCAATTCACCCCAAAATGGAGCTTCATGGTGGTGGTGGGGGTGCAGAACAGGGCAGATGAGGACAGCAGGATTAAATCAGAAGCTGTAGCCGAGTTGAAGCTCAGGAGTTCCTTCATCCCCACTAGACATGACTCATCGTGAATCAACTCCATGCACCTGATAGGTTATCTGAGCTTCTGTCCCAGGCTTCACAGGATACTGAAACACGAGAGGGGCTCTGCCCTTCTGAGGACTGCAGGACACTAAAGCAAGCAGCGGATTCAAATCAAGCAAAGGAACTGCGAGCAAACCAGCAGCAGGGTAAAGGCACATTAGGACAGCGAGGGCATGTGTCTCACACTGATGCGGCCAGTCCTCATCAGCCTGGTGCCAACTGTGTTCTGTCTAGGTTCCTACAGCACACTGGCCCCGCAAGATAGTGAATAGGACCCAGGGCAGGGATGGCCCTCACTTTGCAGCCCCACCACTGTTTATCTGCTGTAGTATAAAGGCTTCTGGGTAGGACTCATCCCTAGGGATTTCAGAGGGAGCTCAGAGAGCTTTTTAGTTGTTGTGACACTCTAGGAAGATTGGTGATCATCACTCAGGAGTCAGGGCAGCAGCTCAGGCAGAAAGATACCTGCACAAATCAATAGGAGACTGAAGTAACAACATCCAAGTTGCTTCTCGTCTGGAAAGCAAAACTTGCCTAAACTCAGCCCTGGGATAAGTCAGCCTGGAGTGTTTTTGGACCATGTGGCAGAGCAGCTGGCATCTATGGCTTCACCGAGTAGCTGACAGCATGGCCACACTATTTTAAAGCCCCGGTGCCAAGATTTTTCAGCAGTATCAGCCCAGCATGAGTTACCACCACTACGTAGCAACCACAAGGCACCAGCAATACATTTGCACAAAGGATAGGCTGAAACAGGAGTTGAGACCCTTCCCTGGGTGGTGCTCAGAATGCACCTTGGGGGCTGCAATTAGGCCTTCAAACTCTGCTTCCATCTTTGCTTTGCTTTACCCTGAACATGTATTACCTGCATAGCATAGCACAAAAAAAAAAAAAAAAAAAAAAGGTTTTTAAAAGTAAAAGTAACAGTGGGTTAGGTCCTAACTGTGGCTATCCAAAGACAAATAGACTATTATTAGGGCTGCTGCGCTCTCAGAGTGGACTGTAAGGACACAGGGCTCTTATCCACGGGCTGTCTTTCTAGTGTGACCTGCTCCATTAGCTCTCAAAGGCAGCAGTGAGAAAAAACTGAATCTGAAGAGAACTGAGGCCTCACCCAAGGCATCCTGGAATATGGAGACCTACGGGATTAATTCTCCCATAGTGTTGTAGGATGGCTGGCTGCAGTGTTTCCCCACCTCCATTCGAAGACTGGCTTTCTGGTTTTCCTGCCCCACAGCATCTGAGAAAAACTTAAAATTTAAAGAGACCTTAGTGTGTCCCAGCATGTCCCTATGATTTCCACCGGGGAAGTTAGGCCATTTAGAAGAGGTTCCAGAAAGGCACCAACTCTCAGGTATACTCTGCACTTCCAAGGTATGAGTCCTATACCTCGAGTATGTATCCAGAGGCTATACCTTATAACCCTTTCCTGATAGCCTATGATTCATTGTCTCTCAGCCAGGAGGGATATACCCCAAACTTCATCCTAACCCTTTCCTGATAGCCTACGATTCATCGTCTCTCAGCCAGGAGGGATATACCCCAAACTTCATCCTACCAGTATGAGCCCCTTCCTGGACCAGTCTCCTTCACCAGTGATTTCCTGGGGAGCCAAGAGAGTAGGTGTGGTGGAGGAGAACAGGGGCACCAGCTGGTGACCCAGCAATGACGGCTTATGTTCCCTGAGGGGTCAGGAGGACAGAAGATGGTAACTTATCCACCTCAGCACTGAGTTCAGGGACAGACTATGTTACCAGATTTACATCTTCAGACCAGGCCTGAGGAGGGTAGGGGAGGCCAGCTAGAGGTAGAATTACAGTTCTTCAGTGGGAGGGCACATGGACAGATGCCAGAGACAGGATTTTCTGCAAACTCTGAGGACCCTTTAACTCAGGCAGGGTTTCTTGCATCCCATATACCCCAAGTCTTCCTTGCCAAGGAAGCCCACAGGAAATCAACTGGACCTCATTTTTCAGAATGAAAAACTTGTACACATGACCTCCACCATCAAAAAAGAAAGAAAAACCTAAAGGTGACAAAGGAGAGACTTTGTCGCCAAGAATCAACTGCTACATACCTCAGGGCACAGCCCCATTACAGGAGAAATGGGATGAGGGGATCAGAAAATTGACTATAAGCAGGAAAAAGAATCTATTACTACAACTAGATTCCTACAACCAGGACAAGGTGCCCATGAGCAGAGACGGTATCCGTGAATGTGATGAGTGTCGATGAATAAGACCCACACCACTCAATCCCTGACCACCAGATGAGCCATTCTCAGTCCCACAGGCCTCATCGGCAAAAGTGAGGCCAGGGACAGCCCATTAGAAAGACAAGAGAAGTCTGTCTAAGATGAGAAGAAATGGACAGTCCCCTTGGAACTCACTTCCTCCCCTTCACTACATCCCACCAAGGCCGGAGTCCTGTGGGACCCCATGTTAGAACAGGGTGAGGGTGACCGTGTGGGATCTGGACACATCCAACCAGCCCTATGTGTCTGAGGACGGGGCACAGGCAGCCTTCCCTGTACAAGCTCTGTACTTCAGAGTGTACTTATACACAACACATCCTTTGATAGTTGTTTGTTTTATTAATAACACAGCCATACACCCTGCTCCTCGTTGGGATTCTCCATGTGAGTGGCCTCTTACAGTGGAGACTGCCATCCCGTGCAAAGTGAGCTCCCACAAAGTGGGCATTTTCTGAATGTGAATCTCCTACAGAAGCAATACCAGAAGCCCAATCTATCAGGAGACCCAGCCAGGCCCCCTTGTCACCCGTGCCTTATCTACACAGTTCATCCAGAAGCCTACAGCCCAGGGTATGACTAGGGCTGACCAGGATGATACGGTCTCAGAACAGTCGCTAGGACTGGAGTCCCAAGGCCAGGCTGCTGCCTACAGAACCAAATTCTCACTGTTTCTAGGTCAAACAGAACACAATTCTCCTGGGTGTTGTAGGGAAAGGGGAGCCCAGTATCCATGTCCACTCATTTCCTATATTCCCGGCCTGAGCTGGACTACAGGTAGAGAAGGACTACATGTCCCAGAAAACCCCATACTTAAGTTAGGGGAATCCTGGGCAAGGAGACTAGGAACCCAAGGAAGGTAGGAAACTGAGGAAAGTCCTAGACCCCTCTACACACCCATGTCCTTCTTTGTATTCACCATCGAATGCAACAGAAATAAACCCAGAACTCCCCAAAGCCACTGGCTGCTCTGCCCAGCTGCCCAGCGTCCCTACCTTCCTGCAATTCACAGGCCTTCCTTACAATGTAGTCCTGACTGCCCCTCGGTAGGGAATACAAGGATACAGCCCACTTTCAGGAGTGACCATTTGAACTTCTGGTTTACAGTTCTAGAATAAGAGAATGAGGACAGCCACCAGTAAAGGTTGGGGGGGGGGGTCACAGAAATACCTTCTAAAATGATGAATGCAACAAGCCCCGTCACTAAACGGAAGCCTAAGACTGGGCATGTAGAAGAACCATGAGACATTCGGGAGTGTCAGTGACTCCTTCAGGTTGTCCCCACTGTCTAGCCAGGGCCCTCTCGATGGCTTTAGAGATGTGAGTGGAGAGTAAGAGGGTGGTCTAACATTTAGTATGAGCTCCAGGCTCTAGACAGTTGTCTAAGGCCAGCAGAGAGTACTGAAATCAAATCCCATCATGCATCGTCTGATCAAACACCATTTCTAAACCAGCCTCCAAAATATTTCCAATACAGCATTCTACATGAATCCATATGGATAAAAAAATCAAGATCCATGTTCTGGGATTGAGCTACATGATCACTCCTTCGAGTACCCATCTCTCACAGTGACACGCCAGGGTCTGCCACCATGCTCCCTTTAGACGCTCCATGGGCGGGTCCTGAGGATGCTAACGACCCTGTAAACGACTGGTTCCTAACTCAGCATCAACACAGCTTCATGAACACCAATGTACATGAGCACTATCAAGTTGTACACCACACATCTGAGCATTGTCCTTGGATAGTGAGGGAGGCTGTGTAGACTGGCCAGTGGGTGCAGCTGGCCTGGAGCCAGGCAGCTACCTAACAGGGGATGACCAGTAGTCCCTCAAAACCTTCACCTTAACACCAGGACTTATGTATGGGACCGGGTTTGAAAATAGGATTTTGACAGGAAGTCAACCTAGATTATCCACACTTGGGAGGTAAATTGTACACCAATTCCCTCTGTAAGTCAGAAACCAGATAGTGCCGTGTCTGCATGTATCCCTCCAAAAGTATGAGAGCTTTGGAGAATGGATTAAATCAGGTTCCTGGTCTCTCATGAGTGGAGTAAGACCTCTCAAGAGGGCTGTAAGGAATTGGCTGAGGCTTTTCTACCATGTGATGACATAGGGCTTGACCTCTCCTCTGGAGTATGCTCCAAGAAGGCACTATCTTAGAAGAAGCCACCCTTATCAAACCATGACCCTGCAGCGCCTTGATTCTAGAGTTCAGCCCCCAGAACTATGAGAAATACATTTGCGTTCTGTATAAATTCTCCATCCTTGGTATTTTGTTAGAGTAGCATAAGTAGACGAGAGAGAGAGAGAGAGAGAGAGAGAGAGAGAGAGAGAGAGAAAGAGAGAGAGAGAGATAGATACAGGAAGATCTCCAGACTGTCAGAGTGTCAAGGCATAAGGCCAGAAATGGCTGAGTTGAGGGCAAGAAGGGCTTGCCAGAACCAGGGCAGGAACACAGTTTATCTGGAGTATTGAACTTCCGGCATGCAGAACTGCAGAAGAATGGGTTTATGTCATGTTACATCACTCAGCGTCGCTGTCGTCACATAGCTTCTAAGCTCTGACCAAAAGGGAAAGCAGGACTCTAAGACATGCAGAGGCCCCATGAGTACAAAGCCACAGGACGGAGGCAGAGGGTCAGACGGGGCTACAAGAGGGGGTACACAGACAGGTAAACAAAGATGTAGACTAGGCACATGTCACATCCACAGGGAGCTTGAGGAAGCTAAGCTCCTGTGTCTATCTACTACTGTCCAGAGCCAGATACTCTTGGGTAGGGAAGACTTGACACAGAACATACAGAACAGACTCCCAAAAGGGAAAAAAAAAAGATTCTAAATAGCACCAGACTGGAGTTAACTTCTGCTTATCAACGAGTATTAAGAGACTAAAAGGGCAAAGCTCAAATAAGGAAAGATTCTTCTTCTATACAACAAACACTGAGTTGTCCAATATATAAAAAAGCCTCTATAGTCAATTAGAATAAAAGGAGATTACTCAACAGAACAAGACAGTCCAGGGGAGAGCCAGAGAACACAAGAAATGCCAAGCTTCATTAGTATAATCAGGAACGTGCAGGCACGACCCCAAACCAGAAACCGGGCACACCTTGCAAGGTGGGAACATTTAAGACTGACCTAGGCAGTTGGTGGTGGGATATGAAACACAGAGCACCGCATGTGGAGGGTAGCTGGTGGGACACCCTATAAAGCAGCACCCTCAGCTCACTACATCTGAAGGGGCTCATAATCTGAAGCCCAACAACTTCAGTTCTTCCGGAGCCTTTCAGTTTGTAGAAGAGTCCAAGGCATCTATATCCTTGATCTCCCAACAGGGAAGCAACCAAAGACAGCTGACAGAAGAGGCTCAGAGGGCAGGAAACTAGAGCCATGGGTGAATCTGCTTAGGTGAACACTAGTTAAAAGAAGGCAGCTCAATAGAACCGTAGCTATATGATTTCATATGTGTAAAGGTCAAAAAACACAGGCAGGAGCTAAGATAGCGCACAGGGATATATGTTCATGAGGTGAAACTAATAAGACCCTTCCACTCCCACACCTTCTACCACGGGGCAAAGGGCAATGGGAATGACTGCCAGGAGGAAACTGAAATTACAGCACTGAAGCAGGGTCCCTGTGGGAGGGACCTTGAGGGGGCAGCCATCTGGCAGAGCTCACTAAGCCTGGCAGGTGGGAGAGGAGCTTGGGATACAATTCATGAACTTAAAGACTAAAGAAAGCCTTACATTTGGGCATCTAGACAGGACACCACAGCTCACAGCTGTGAATTACATCACTGTACAGTTAAGAGAGATGATGGACCCAAATGGTTTCGTTCATCATCAGGAAGTTGCATTCTGTCCATGCACTTTACCCTGATAACAGTAAGCCATCTGTGGGTCACAGAAACCATATCCTCTGGGACCCAAGCAGGGCTGTTTCTGGAATTGGCACAGGACATCAGGAGGAGGCTTCCCCAGTGCTGCAGAGGGAAAACGGGGCATAGAGCTGAAGGTGCTGTGGGATGGTACTGTAGGTCCTCCGTGGGGCTGCCCTAGATAGGGAATGCCCTAAGTAAATGATGACATTGATAAAGGATGTCATAAGGAGATTCCCGTGGGTCATGGATGTGGCCATGGGTGGTGGCTGACGTGGGTGAGGTTGCTTTGATTGGGGGGTGTTGTAGGTAGTGGGATGCTTTGGACAAGGGAAGTCCTGGCCATAAATAGAGGATGCTAAGGTTGAAACACTGACTCTTCTATATGAGGAAGCCGATCCTACCAGCAGTAGGAGACCCCACCAGGGTGGTAGGGGCTGGCCACCATGTCTGAACCCAGCCTGTGGCTGAGCAGCTCCAACCCTTCCTAAACGCCAAACGCCATCATAAACCCAGGACACGCACAGGACCGATTACCAGGACAGCAGAGCCTGTCCAACGCAGTAAGAAGTGGGAAGCTCCATTCTCCTGCATGGGTGGGCACAGCCTTTCTGTGTGAGTGGGGAGGGCTGGACAAGGCTGCAAGGTCCCTTTCCCTGGCAGAACTGAAATCACACCTCCTACAGGCTCCTCCTTCAGTTGCGGGCTATAAATAGGCCAGCAGGCACTGCTGAAGAAGCCAGTTTTCATTCTCTGTGGAACCCAGCAGAGTTGTTTTCAGGGCCCAGAAATTTCCAGAAAAATTCGGAGATTTCTCACAAGCCTCCACCCCCTTATGGGTGATTTCAATTTTCTCACATGAAAATTTCTAATGTTTATAAAAACTTCCAAAACCTTAGGTGATAGTTAAAATAGCTATATTCCACAACCTCAAGGAATGGAAACGGTGGACCCAAGGATCAAGCTGCGCACGTTACCTTCACTTTGCCATCGGTAAAGACAAAGATTTTCAATGCGTCACTTGAATTAGGGCACCTTTCCTAAGGGTGGGTCCCTGTTGCAATCATGAGCTTTTCTGAATAGAGGAGTCCTTTAGAGACACTAGGCTCAGATTGTGCCCCTCCCCCTCGCCAGTCCTCAGGGGTCACGTGATGGGAGAGGGGCTGGCACGCGAGCACAAACAGCAGCCCGCCGCCAGAGAACCCAGCCGAAAGCTAATCAAGCTGCCCCTCCAACCCCCCATCCATTGCTCCAGTCCTGGAGAGCTCACACCGCCTATTCAGGCCACCTACGCGGCCAAGAGAGCCCAGATAGACAAATGGGCGCTGGGCCAAACGCCATCATAAACCCAGGACACGCACAGGACCGATTACCAGGACAGCAGAGCCTGTCCAACGCTGTGCCACAAAGGGCCACTCGTCTTCCTCACCTCGTTTCAGGCCTCGTTTACATAACCGAAACCGCCGAGGAAGGCTCGGATCCTCCCTCTCCCGCACTCAAACATGGGTGTTCAAAATGCGACCCTGACAGAACCCTCGCCATCTCGATTGCGACATTACAGGTTCGCAAGAAGGGTGGAGGAGCGAATGGGCTCTGTCACCTACAGGACATAATGCGGGCTCAGGATTTGAGACCCGTGAACGCCCAGGCAGCTCCTGCTCCCAGATGCACGGATCAGGGCAGTGGCTTCTCTTTACACCGTTTCCCACCAGGTTCCACGGGCAGCGACCCGAGGCCCGGCGAGGCCTAGCACCTGGGTCTGGTGGGGAACAGTGGGGTGCTTTCAGTCCACCGTATTAAGTGGCGACGCAATGCGCTTGGCTCAGTGTAAACGCATACCCATTCTTGACACCACTGCTCGAGGTCTCCAGGAACCACCGCTCCAGCAGTGGGAGCTGATCGCGCTGCTGCAGAGAGTGGCAGGTGACCAGCCTCACAGACCGGAGGCGCCCTGAGCCTAGGGCCCCGGACCCGTGCCTCGGACCACGGACAGCGCCCAGCGCTAGCTTACCTCTAAGACGAGTCCACTGGTGCGCCTCCGCGACGAGACTTGCGCCCGGGGCGCTGAGCTCTCTGAGCCGCCAGCCCAGGCCCCGCCCTCCAGCCCTGCCCACGCGCCCCTCCTCCTGCTGCCCCGCCTAGGCGCGCGCTGAGGCTCCTCCCGACCGGAGCGCGGCGCACCGAGACCGGAGGCCGCTACTGCCTTACAAGGCTGCCGCAGGCACTGCCGGCCTCTGGACGCAGCTCTACCCAGGGCGCGGTCGTCGGTGGAGCTGTGGAGCGTGGGAACCGGGCAATGGTTGGGGAAGAGCTAGTGGGGCACACCTGGCCTTGGGGCGCCGGGCGTGCGGCCATTCCCAAGAGGGGAAGCTGAGGCTGGTGGCGCAGTGAGCTTAGCCGGTTGCTGATTTCTACATAAGAGCTTGGTGCGTATGAGCAGATGCTGGCCGCTACCTGTCTGAGAAACATCCTGAGAGTCTGCTGATTTTCCTTCCTTCTAGGGATACTTGCCACGGAATCTCTACCCTGCTGACTCTGTGGTGAGGTCATGGCCTCCCTGCCTCTGTAGAAGGTGACTCTGTAGAAGATTATGGGGTTGGTAAGGTGATGCAGCGGGGCTGGAGGCAGAGGCTTTGGTACAATAGACTTCTCCGTCCTCCAGGTTGTCTTTGACTCTAGCCAAGTCAGCCCAAAGGGGAGTTGGGGGGGGGGGTGATGAGTGTCTGGCACATTAACTCATGCTTGAGGGTACCTCGTTCTGAAACTTAAGAACTAGGCCCACCTGGGCACTTGGAGCAATTTAACCCTCCCTCTGGTGGTCTCTGACTCTCAAATCTCCAGAATCCTGCTTTCTTCAGCTACTCACAAATGACTAAAAGTCACTTCTAATTCTTGCTCACCTGCGAGTTCCCACAATGGAAGTCTTATGAGTACAGAACTGTGGGAACCAGACCCGGGCCCTCTTCTGTCATTTAGCTCTTCTTTATGGGGTCCTGGCTTGGCCACTTGTTTTAAGTTCCGCAAAGCCCCAATCCCCATCGTCCCCTGGAAATCAAAATGTAGGTGATGTATTGAAAAACTGGCATTCGTGTTTATCTTTCTACCAGCCTATTTTCAAAAGGCGACTATTTTTATTTTTATTTATGGTATGTGTATATGCCTGTTCGTCAGTATGTCACCACTTGCCTGCCAGGTGCCCTTGGAGGTCAGATGGGTATTCTAGATACCTTAGAACTGGAATTACAGGTAATTGTGAGAAGGCCAATGTAGGTGCTGGGAACCAAACCCAGGTCCTCTGCAGACATGTATCAATATTATAAAGTTCTGGAGGACCAGCTGTTAACAACCATGGTCCAAGATGTCAGCTTGATGAACCTTAAGGTTCGAAGAGCATCTTCTGACCTGACCCTCTGATAGCATGGTAGCTGCTGAAACCTCAAGGATCTCACCTGCAGACAGCCTGTACAGGGACCCTGCACCAAATCTGAGAGAGCAACTAGTGCTTCAGGGTCTTCAAGCAAGCAGCTCCACAGATTTGTTACAGCCTGGCAGGAGCCTGTGTTGTCGGCCTTTGTGTCTCTCTGAAGTCCTGAGGTAGGCAAGTGAAGTCACCTACTGCTGCTGGCAGCCCCAGCCTGGACCTAGCCTGCATCCTAGGGTATCTTCTGATTAATTCTGTAGGGTGTATATGTCCCAAGCCAAATCGCATCTCTTTGTAGGTGTGAGCAGAGTAGGCAGCCAGGTGACGTGAGTAGAAAGGGGCCCAGGCTCATCATAAAAGGACAGTACAGGTAAAGACAAAGACTGACGACTCTGGGTGGGTTAGAGCCCTGCTTGAAGTTGGTCCTGCTTTACAAGAACATAACAGGGATGTACACAGGCCTCGAGTCAAGACAGTACCAGGGTAGTGATAAGGGTAGCTGGGCTGTGGAGTGTGGGTACATTTCTGAGAATGAGGGACTGTGGTTATGCTCTTACTGTTGGGAAAAGCTTGGCATGTTTTAAACCATCATGGACAGATATGGCCAGTTTCTTTTCATGCCACTGCTGAAGATGCCAGGGAGGCCCCGCCTATGGCTCTTACTGACAATGGGCCATGAGCAAATTCAGTCCCTAAGTGGCTGTCAAACATAAACAAAGCCTGGCAGCCAGACTGAGCCAGGGGTCTCATAGTTCTGGGGCCTGGATCGGAGCTTAAACTCCAAGGGAAGAGAGGAGTGCCTAGCCTTGGGACCCTACCACTGCTCTGCTCCATATGATCCTGTTAGGGAACAAGCAGGCCTGAAGATGGCCACGTTCTCCTTGCATACCACCTTACAGCTTTATACCCACTTAGGGCCAAATTTAGAGAGCCTTAAACAAGGACCTGCTTTGAGCCTCAGCTTACTTTCTGTCTAGCTCAGCTCCATTCCAAGAGTTTGTCTTCTAGAGTCACAGGCAGGGTCAGGTTGTCACTGAGTTACAGTGTAGCATAGCTAAAGGATCACAGAAAATTCTATTAATAGATGAGCTTCTCCAAGCCTGGGGTTCTGCTGACTCCCCCTACCAGCCACAGTAACACTCTGGTTGACTTTGACCCCCAGAAATCCCATCTGAGACAGAGAAGGAGCACACTGGAGACATCTTGGCCCACACTGAGCCCAGAGATGAGGAAGTGACCCTTTCCACTGGGAGGCATCTGAGCGAGCAGCCCAGCAACTTCTCACCTGGCCAGTGGTTCTCACTGAACGTCTCCATGACAAAGCTTTGTTAAGCTTCTGTATTTATCATATACAATAAATATTTATACATTCTTTTAACTCAATTATCACATCTTATGCTTCAACTATAATCCTACAATTTAGTATTAAAATGTTTCAAGTTATAAAAACCTAAAATTTTGCTGCTTCTGGCTAAAAACATTCTTGACCATACAGCCGCAAGGCTGGGCATAGTGTTCCCCTCCACAGGAGATAATTCAACTTGTGTGGATTGCATTGTGACCATGAATGAAACCTATGGAGGCAAAATGTGGCTCAGACTGACTGTAGACTTCCATCCTGCTACAAAAGAGAGGTTTTAAGAGCTTCCTTCTTCTCAGTAGCACACACTGAAATTTGCCTATGCAGCCTTGTCCTGGGACTCCAGTCACACTGGTCAACAATGAAACTCAGCCCTAATGGAAGATGGAATTGAAATGGAGCTACAGTAACCTGCTGTGGCCAGGAAGTCTCCATCCCTGTAGAAGAAGGGGCACTGTCAGCCAGCTCCACCTTTCCTTGTAAGCCCATAGCAGTGATGCAGAGAATGACATCTACTATATATCCTGACTATATATCTACTATATCCTACTATATAACAGATCATCCACCTTCCTGTGTACAGAGGGGGAGTACAGGCCTGAAGGTCCCTGATGTTGTATGGAGTGTGTGGTTAAAAGCCCACTCAATAACAGAAGGAGCCTGAATATGTTTGAGCAATGCCTTGCTCATGAGCAATATTTTATAAAGACACATCGTCTTTATTAAGACATGGAAATAACTGTCACAGAGGGCTCCCAGCAGGACGGAGTTCCCTCTCCCTATGAAGTGAAACAAAATGGATGTCTGAAAGCAAGACAGCAAAGGACTATGGTCTCTGAAAGATGAGACCATAATAGTTTCCCCACTGTGGAGTAGAGTGGAGAACCCAGGCAGTCACCTCCAAGTTGGAAAAGCCATGAGACCTGGGAGAGAACTTCATAAGATCCTCCAAGTGTTCAGCTGAGAACAGATCACTCAGACAAAGGGGAGAGCCATCTAATCCTGGAAGAGAAGGTCAGGTTTGCTCACATGTTCAGATTATGTAGCTGGGGAGAGATACTGATCTACCAGAGGAGTCTGTAGCACCAAACCCAAGGAGAGAAGGTTCTCACTGTCTTCCCTGCCTGTCTGATATGGCATGTTTCTGAAAGGTTGTAAGAGTGTCCTGAGCTGGCATGGCAGGATCAGGAACTAGTTCTGTCTTAGAAAGACACCATAACAGAATAGGAAGGGGCTGAAACCTCACTTTTTGGTCCAATCACACCTCGTACTTCTCACCTGGGACCATTTCAGGTCTAGTGATTGCTATAGTGAGTTCCATACTATTTGTTTTTAGACCTACATACTAACAGAAGTATTTTGTCCCTGATCCCGGTGCTTCTATTGTCTAGCCAGCTGATAAGCCTGTGCCCCATATATACTAAGAAGAAGATGGATAGGTAACTACTATGTAAAACTTTTCTTTGTAATTTTTTTACTTGCAAATAGTAAAGTCATTATAAGATACTTTTAAGTCAAAGTAGCATATTTATCATTTGTTTCAATGATATGATATCCCTTCAGTGATCTAATTCTGAAAAATATAGTCAGAGTGTCAATGAGCTCATAAATGAGCACATTATACCCAGAGGAAATCCCACAGGGAAACGAAACGAACACTAGTGGACCAAACACAGCATTCAAAAGGAGAGAAGTCAAAGGCACCAGAGTATCGAAGGCCTGGTCAAAAGATAGAATATCCAGTCCTCTAGCAGGGGGTGCTGATGTAGGGGGAGAGCAGAGGATCACAAGATGAGCAGCCCTACAACTGCTCTACCACAAAATTTACTGAATCTTGAGGGAGCAATGGGAGGCCCACCTCAAGTGAAAACAGGAATGTTAGTGCAAACAAGGAAGTGCAAGAAAAACAGAGAAGGAACGGAAAGGACCCAAAGAACAAAGATAAAACAACATATTACCATAGAAATATAAAAATAATTTTAAAAATCAGAATAAGGAAGAAATGTACTATTAATTTAAAATGAAAGTTGCGCACAGCAAAGTGGGTGAGATGGTGGAAGACTTGGGTGGGGATTTATGAGAAAAGACTATTGATGTCTCTACTAGGATTGCATGTTTGAGTGCCTGAATCTAACCCAGAAGTCATGTGACCAAGGGTAGCATCATGATTCCTAAAGCCCTAGAGAGAGACTGTTGCTATGTAGTGTAGCTATTTCCTTTGAATTGAAACATTCCCTCCTGAAAGGAAGTTTCAAGAAGCTAACTGAACTTAGAAAGTTTAGGAAGCCAACAAAATTCATGACTATCTCATGTTTTCTGTGGCAGGGGTGA